GTTCGCATATTTATCAACAAAAAAAAAAAAGTAAGAATTTTAGCTAGCTATGCAGACGCAAACAGAATTGCTTTAAAGTGACATGGAAACTCAAAGGTGTAATATTTGGAATGATGTCAAGTCTCTGAAACGTTTGATATGTCATAATCTCAAACAAAGGTAAGAACATTTATACAAATATTCTAATGCTTTCAAAGGACAAAATGGACTCATCTCATCTAAAGAGGAAATAGGACAACTGGGAAGACTGACAAAACCACATCATGTTAACACCTAAAAGTTACAGACAACTAACCAACCATGTTTTTCTCTTCCTTTTAAAGAGAGAGAGAGAGAGAGAGGGAGAGAATAAATGCAGATAGAGAAAGCAAGAATAAAAAGAGTGAGAAAAAGCAAGAATTAAATGCAGAGAGAGACAGAGAGAAAAAGCAAGATTAAATGCAGAGAGAGAGAAAGCAAGAATAAATGCAGAATGAAAGCTGCTTCTTATTCTTCTTAGAGAGAGGGAGATCGGGAGAGAGAGAGAGAAAGGGACAGAGTTGGGAATGGCGAGCAGCTTTTGGTTGATTCAACCATTTCATCAAAGACTGTATGTTAAGCATAATCTACCACCCAAATAAGAAAGAAAATTTTTCGTCAACTATTTCATACAGTGCTTGTTTGGTATTTTCTTGTTTTATTCTTTTCTTTTTCTTGTGATTGTGTTTGTGATTATGTTACATAATCATCGTCTTAGGCCTCATTTTGTGTGTGATCTTTATGCTTGTTAATTTGTAATACATGTCTCTGTTTTTCTCTTTCTTTTTTTTTATTGTTTGTTTTCTCTGATTAGTAAGTGGAAACCACTGCCTTATTATCTATACCATCAAAAAGAGATGACTTTGAAATTGAGCAATAATTTTGTTGTAAAACAACAACAATAAATACGCTGACTTGGTTAGGGGAATTCAAAGAAGCTGATTAAATCTGCCCAAATAATCTAATAAACCAAATGAGCCATTACCAATAATGAAACCTTTCATGGATACTTCTCAAAACTGCTTAATTCAGTAAACATCTTTTCAACTACAGGATATAGTCATGCCTTGTTTCAAGTGAAAAGGCTTTGTTGAATTGATTTCTTCATATGGTTTCCTCAAGTGGCCTAACTACAAATAGAAATGCCCTGATTTACACTTCAATAGGTTTGTTTCGTTGCATTGGATAGAAAGTTGTGATTTTTTTTTGTTTACAGATTTTTTTGGGATGGATAGCAAACTTTAGTTTGTGTTTTAGTGCATATGTCATTGTTCATGGATTTGTTGTGTAACTGATTTCAGCAGTTCCCTAAGTAATCATTTTTTTTTTTTTTTTTTTTAAAGGATTCTTCATCTCAGCTCCTTAATTTTTTTTTTGATTTATAGAAGCTAACAAAATTCTATTGTTGTTGTAATTTATTTAATTTTTGGATATTTGTTGTTTTATTCAATCCCTATCATCATCATTATGTTAGATTGTTTTGTTTAATTTCACAAAGTAGCGCACCAAGACTGTCCAGCACTTGGGTAAGAAGGTTGTTTTGTATCATTTGAAGGAAAATCATAGATAATGCACCAAAAACAATTTCTTTGGGAAAGAGCATCTGGATAATCAATAGACAAGGAAATTCCTTATTGGCTCAGGTAACATACTAAAACCCTAAGCAAGACCACATTATAGATTTGACAATTAGGAAAAAGCATTCTCAAGATTGTATGCAAACAAAATTATTTGAAAGCTGGAAATAGGATAACTCAGGGAGGGAATGCAAGACACTGTTCATACTGCAATCCATAATGTCAACTACAACAATTCATACTCTGAAATACATTTGTAATACTTGGAAAGAAAGCAAATATCATCACACAAATAAGGAAATAGCAACTATTAGTCACAAAGTTCCCAATGGGAACAAATTTTTCTGATGAATTTCTCATTTGAACATATGATCAAACACTTGGTGGGCACAGATTTTAACTAGTGTCAAAAAGAAGAACATCATCTAAAATCGCAAAGTCATGAACAGTTAATTTAAATAAGAACAACAAAAGCATAGACCAAACAATAGCAACAAATATACTACCAACAACAAAAAGAGCAACATCATCACACACAAACTAATTGATTAAAAGAAAATTTGAATTGAATGGAAGTAAGATTAAGAATGATTACGTAGGGCAATGGAAGAATGAATTGGATTTAACGGCAACTGGATAATGGAAATGAAAGAAGAGCATACCTCTTCTGTTTCTTTGACAAAACTCAAGACAATTTGCAGCAACGCAGTAAACAACAATTCACACCTCTTAATATATTAGAACTTGTGGAACAAGCCTCGGTGAAAAGCCACCGCCTAATCTGCAGCGCCACAGGTGGTATGATTTGATGAAGAGGTTGTTGGAGAAGCACGATTGATGAAGAGCTTGCCCAGCAATCTTCAAAGAGGATGAATTGGCCATTTCAACTATTAGTTGCACTGCTGTTAGAGTCAATTTTTGTTGCTAAGAGTATAGAAATCATTAATTATTGTATAGGAGATTAATTAAAAATTTCTTTTAATTTGTTAAATAATTTTTTTTTGTTGTATGAAAAATTCTGACAAGGTTATTTGTAATTTTTTCAAAAACACACAGTAATTTGTATTTTAAGCAAGGAGTTGTATTCGTAATTTACTTACTTTTTTTTTTTGGGCTTAATACGGCATCGTTTTTGGTAAAATGTAGTAAATACTCACACATCACTTTTTGGTTGGATATTGCAATTTGGGTTAGTGGTTTTGATCAAATATTTGAATTGATGGCTTGTTTGGATTTAATTGGCATCGTTTTGTGAGTTGGGTTTAGCGAAAACCAGGTCTTTTATATACATTTGGGCCGTGTTTGTTTGGATGGCCATAGCCTTAAATTGGATTGATAATCCGACAAAATGTATAATATGATGTTTGGCAAAGAAAATTGTGATCCGTACATGCTCCATTTGTTTGGGAAAAAAATATTTTCTGAAAAATGTTATTCATATTTTCTGGTGTTTGGTACAATAGAAAATGAAAGTCAACGAAAACATTTTTCATGGTGGAAAACAAGCCTATTTGGGCACCTTTGAAAGATGAAAAACGTTTTTCGAATTAAAATTTTACTAATGTCACCACCACCACCACTCTCACCTCCATGACCTTAACACCATCATCACGGCCACTGTCACCATCGCCACCATCGCCATCACCGCCACCGTCACCCCACCACCTACACTTCCACCTTTGTCCCACCACCACCACCGCCAAAAATATTTTCTAGAAAAAGTTTTCACCCAAACAAACAGAGCAGTAATCGAGTATCCCCATGTGAGAGACGGGGAGTAGATACAAAATGAAGGATTAGGGAGAAAAAGTTCAGGCTTAATTAATTAAGGCCAAGTTTGGCATGATTGAAAAAAGACAAAAAGACAAAAAGTCAAAAAGTTACTATCCTATTTAAGTCACATTATCTTATTTAAGTCACATCACCTCTCTAACACATCACTTCAAACCCAACCCAAACCCAACCCATATTTCATAAAAAGTCAAAAAGTGCACTTATTTAGTCTTCCCAAACTAGGCCTAAATTGCAAAATTGATAGATAGGAGTATATCATGCCTTATGGTAATCCTAAGCCAATTTAAACATGAGATATGATACACAATTCAAAGTGATTGATAGGCTAAGGCTAACAGTCCTAGGCATGCTAATCCCATCTAATCTTATCGGTCCAATCAAATGTGGTTTAGGGGATGGCTCCAAATAAATGGAGCTGTATATCGAGTATCCCTATATGAGAGATGGGGAGTAGATACAAATAGAGGTTTAAGGAGAAAAGTTCAGGCTAATTAATTAAATTGCAAAATTGATAGGAGTGTATCAATGCCTTATGGTAATCCTAAGCCAATCCAAACATGAGATATGATACACAATTCAAAGCAATTGATAGGCTAAGGCTAACAGTCCTAGGCATGCTAATCCATCTAATCTAATCTGTCCAATCAAACGTGGTCTTAGGGGATGGCTCCAGCAATGGTGGTGCCATTTTCTGAGATTGATTTGGGTTATGGATGGTAAATATGAGAAATATGCAGATTACATATATATACGGAAAATGCTGTTGAAAAGACAATATATGGCAAACAATGAAAAGGCAATAAAATAATTTTAGAATTGCTTCTAATTCGTTAAATATCATATCATCCATTGTTTTAAAAGATTTGGTACTTTGCTTCTATTTTAGAATTATTTGCTATATTTTTCGAGATCTGTGAAGCACTCACAAATACTGGGTAATCTGATAAGCTTTTATTATATATACCTAATGGAAAAGTTAAGGAATCTTTGATGAATATGAAAAAATGAAGAATTTGGCCTACTTGCTTCTGTGTAATTCATTTTTAAGTTCTAAAGTTTCTCTGGAGGAGCCATGAATTTCCATTTTGAATTAATTTCTTTACGAACTACTACATACATGTCCTTGAAAAAATTTGTTTGGTTGTGAAATATCTCATAATTGTAAGCTTGTATTGTATGACGTTGCTGCTGTGTTCTCCACGCCAGTTTTTTTGGTTCTTCCACTCCTCAGCCTATTCTTCTTGTTCTTCTTTTCACATGTAGATATTGATATCACGGAACTTTTATATTCGTTTTTCTTTGCACTGGGTTTTCTATTCACTGTGGCCCATCAAGTGCTGTGTCGTGGTTCCCTGCCATGGCCCACCTTTCATAGTGTCTAAAATAAGTTCCATTTGATTCATCACATCCGTGCTAATTCATGATATCCATTAATTAACACACAGAAATTTTTATTATATTGCTTGTTAATTTATTACTTGACATTTTCTTGGATCTTATGATTTTTCTGCTTAGATTTTAGAGATTCAGTTTGAAGCGCTCACCCTAAAATTAGCATGACCCTGTTTGCTGAATTCCAAAAATGCTAATTATTGTGAATGTTACATCCAGATTATGTATTGCTATGCAGTAAATGGAAGATGCACTGCCCCTGGCCATCTCTGGTTAACTGGCTGCCAAGGAGAAATGGAGATCCAATTGAAAAGGCTCCCAGGATTTGATAAGTGGATAATAGAGAAGGAGAACCGATCCTATATTGAAGCTTTTCAAGATCGTAAGGAACATCTAGTATATCTCACAGCAGACTCAGAAAATATTCTGGATGAACTTGATCTAACAAAAATATACATTGTTGGTGGGTTGGTGGATCGGAACCGTTGGAAGGGGATAACTATGGAGAAAGCAAAAGAGCAGGGAATTCGAACTGCAAAACTCCCCATAGGAGACTACCTGAAGATGTCTAGCTCCCAGGTATGGCTGGTTTTGGTAGTTGCGTTGTTATTTTTCTATTGGAAGTTCGATTTTCAAAATTTTGCATGTTAGGAAATGAATATAATTCTTGGGAAAAAATAATGCAATCCAAATGCAAATTAAGAATCAAATTGAGAGAGAGAACATAAATGCCCCCAATTAGGGGTAAAACCCCTAAGGGTTAGAGAGAGAAACCAAGCTCTACTCCAATCACAATGTATATTCTTTAATCAACAGCTAGGTACAATGGAATATTACATCACCTATTTATAAACTACAGCAAATAGTCTGTTTAACATACACTTATCCTATTTATTCTACTACATTGTACTCTCCCTCTTGAAGAAACTTGTCTTCAAGTTTAAGCAGCCAATAAGTAAATTCAATGTAACACTACTCGACCAAGAACAAATATGATTCTCACAACTTGGTGTTTGCAAATACATCGAACTGGATCCTTGCATCCTTTGGAGCTGCTGGATTGGATAACGAAGGTAGGCAGCAGCTGCAGAGAGTTCTTTGGAGATTAGGAATTAGGGCTAATTTTTCTTCTATTGTTGATTTGGGACTAAATGCCCAATGTATTGCCATGTATACTTAAGAGTAGGGATCTGTTGTAACTGCACCATATTAAATCAATGGTCAAATTTCGAACAAAACCAATCAAAGCAACAAAACAAAACAAAAAAAGCCCTCAAGGCCTGAGCCTTGGGCCAGTAGCACGTCTTAAGCGTGATTTATGAAGTTACTTGGCCTGGAACACTGCAAGGTACAATCCTTACGCCTGGATGGGGCTTGGGCCTAGGTGCACACCTGGGCACACTTTTAATAACAATGAATCATAGATAAGATATATAATAATTATTTATACTTATATGACATATAAGAAATATATAAAATTATATATTTTGCACATGTCTCCCATATGTCGTGTCCTACATTTTTAAAAATTTACGTGTTGACGAATCCGTGTTGTGTCGTATGTGTCGTATGTCCGTGCTTCTTAGGGTAATGGTGTGAGGGACCTCAAGCAAACAAGTCTATGGTAGAATGTAGCAAAACCAAGAGAAGAGGGGGAGAGGAGTGGCTTCGGATCATCAGAGGATTGTTAATTGGAGGTTAGGATCACAGGTTCAACAAGTTGCTCAGCTGGCTCCCCAAGGATGACAGCTCCTCCTTGACTAATCGTAGAGAGAGGACGTTGATCTTACACTCGTGTCTTTTCCATGCCATGATAGACCCCCTAAGGTAGCATGACTAAATTTGTAGCTTGTATGATATAATATAGCCTTCAATCATAGGATGCAGCGATAGGCTTTGACACCACCACTTCGTTGAGTCAAAGAGAACTTGGCACCTATCCGTAGGTGAGTTGGGCTCTAATACACCTTGAGCTTATAGAAGGGTATCCATGCATGCAGTTAACACACAGTAATCATATATCTCTATAAGTCAGGTGTCCACGGTCTTTCACTGCCACTCTCTCTACATCTAAGGTTGCCTTGGTCTTCTCTTCCGCTGCTTGCGGCAATCCCTGGCCATTGAAGTGCTCATAATTCCAGAGGTTTGCAACCGACCACCTCACATACATAATATCTATACAGATGGACATGCCACCTAAAGAGAGGTGATGGATACGTTGTGATTGGGCATCTTGATGTTGAACTTTGCACAAATCTTAGCATTGATTTTCCTTGAAGAATGGATTAATTTTAGGAGAGCTCTCTGTGAACTTCAGCCAAAACCCAATCCACTGAGATGGAAATGAAAGGGATTTATGAGAAATGTTTTCCATAAAATCACAAAACTGCTGTTTTAGTTGTAATTACAAGTTCGTGTGTTCTTACGTAGTCAATTTGAGCCATGGTTTTAGAGGGACCACCCAGGTTTACCAACGAAAAGAAATGAAATGAAAAAGATAGAAATGAAATTGGGGGTCCTTTTGTAGTGTAGCTGGAATCTGGACACACTGTTCTTGAGAATATTTAGAAACATAATGACTAACACTCAATAAATTATGATACTATTTAATCTGTTTAAATCAACATATAATGAAAACATTGCCAATATTTTTTTTGGATAAATAAATAAACTTTATTAGAAAAGCATCAAGATGATGCAAAAACATTATCAATATTTTTATGTATGTTTCACCAAATGGATTTGCTCTCGAATGGGATGAGTGTCTTTCTCTTTCTACCTTTCAGAGCATCTTGCCATTGTGATTATATTTATTTCTCTTTTGTTTGTCTTTAAATTGATAACCAATTGACCGATATGAATTATAGATGTGGACAGTTGCCTTTTGCATACTTAGATACAAATTGTTTGTAATGAATTTAGATTTTTGGGTGTTATTATTTTTTTGGAGTGAATCCATTTTCAGTTAAGAATATGATATGTTTTATATAGTGCCATGATGTCCTTTGAGTATACAAGAGTAGCTTTAGTGCCTCCAACATTTTATGTTCCTTTATTAGTAAGACTTGTGAATTTGTTCAAAAACATAGTAAAATAAAAAAAAAATGCAAGATCGCTTATTTTCATGACAGATTTAACATTCGGAGCTTAATAGGTTTATGTTCTTGGAGATTTATCTAAAATCATCTGTAAATGAAAAATCTGTGCTTCCAATCACAATATTTGCATTTTTTCCCATTTGAGTGCAGGTCCTCACCGTGAATCAAGTGATAGAAATACTACTCAAGTTCTTGGAAACAAGGGATTGGAAGACTTCATTCTTTCAGGTGATTCCTCAAAGGAAAAGATGTGAAGCTGATTCAGAAGAATGTAAAGGAGATTCAGACCCAGAAGAAAATGAAGATCAACTTGAGAGGAAAAGGAAGTTTGTTGAATCCCCTCCCCATTGCTAGAGGATTGCATGGACTTGAAAAAAGTTATAGTCATGAATCAGATTTTTGCTAGCCAGCCGGTTTTCTTTTCCATGAACAATGTGTGTTCACAAAACTGTAGATCAATAGCTTTAAAGGGGAAAGAAAACGATATTTACACTATGCCATGAGATTTCTTTCTTCGTTAGTTTCCTTGTTTTTCCTTTTTTCTCCCCAACCCTTTTAGCACTGTGTCAACTTAGGCAATGGGGGAGTGTGCATTTTGCGATGGATACTTTACTTGGCTGAAAATCAGGCTAGAGGGAAGGTTATGTGTTAGAAGGAGATTTTAGGTTGCATATTTGCCTCTTTGGTGTAGCTGTTTTTGAAGATGAAAGTTGATAATTAATTCAGAAGTAGAACCTAAAAGAAACCCTTTCGCAAGAGAATTAGTTTTTTTTTAAAGCTTAGTTAAGTTGTTTATGTTTTATAAGTTGTAAGCAGTTGTATCGTCATGTTTGGGGTTGTAGTGTTTATTACAAATTTTGTTTTGATGATTTGAATCGTTTATTTTGTAGGCTTTCTATGCATATCATTCATGAAAAAATTAAGTCAATTGATTAATTGTAGTATTTTTTATTTTATTGCATTTGTTTTTAAAAATAAAAAAATAAAAAAATAAAAAAATAAAAAATAGGGGGATACTATATTCCACTAATTTGGCTACTCTTAAGGCATGATGTGGTGATAATGTGGGATAACATAATATTTTTTTATATATGATGTGGATTTATTTTTCACAATAATAATATTTTCAATTAAAATAAAAATATTGAGTATTTATAAAATTATTTTAATATTTTGCTTTTCCATGTTTGTCTTACTTCGTTTGTTGTGAATGTTCAAGCCTTTCGATGAGTAGACAAATAAGCATAATTTCTCACTCTCGGTGAGTATTACTTTGCTTTGCTTATATCACTACTCTCAAACCTTCAAAAAATTAAAGGACAGTAGACAATGTATAGAAATGGAAAATTTTTATTGAATATTGGAAAATTATAGAGATTACAAGAAAAATAGAGAAAACACTATTACTCACTTATAAGACTCTGTTCTACTTCTATAAGACGCAGCCACACCCTTTTATAGGCAAAGAGTGGAGTTCAATTTCAAAATTGAAATGTATAAAATTAAAAGATAAGGTATCTCATAACAACGTTCAAAAAAACAAAAAAAAAAGGTTATTCATTTTGGTTTTATTCAGCATGTGACTCCTTTAGCTTTATTCACAATGTTATCCACTTTGTTGTGTCTCCTTAGATGTATCTATCATGTGAGCTCTCTTTTGACTTCTTCTGTCTTGGCTTCTTCTGTCATGTGAGCCTTTCTTCACTTTGTCTTTCATGTGACTTGCTGAGAGATTCCTGCATTTTTTGGCTTAATTTGTCATATAAACTTCTGCCTTATTTTTAGAAATGCAAAGATCCACATCTTGCATTGATTCATAATGAATTTGGACTCTTCTTTGGATTTTGTAGGGTTTCCAAATAGCTGCAAGATGTCTTGTACTTCAATTATCTCTTCTTGGAGCATCTTGAGTATTTCCTTTGCTTTGTCTTCTCCTAGCTTGGAGGGTGCAATGAAGACTTTGTCGCTTCTTAGCGCCACAAATCTCTTCCCATCACACTAGATTACTGATTATTCCAATGTGTTATGGAAAAACAAGAGCCTATCAATTTTGTCGATGATAGGATCATATCACTTCCATGATCTTTCTTTTTTATCATGGTAGAAAGGATTTTGACAAGTTACTGCGTACAAAAACCTAGATTTGATATGGTTGATAAAACTGAGTTTCAGTTCTTTTAGCCAAAGTAGACACGTTTATGCCGTAATAAGCACCAGGTTTGCTCCCATAATTATAATAGCATATTTAACTATTGATAGAAGTTCATTTAAAGCTGAAAATCTTCTCTATCAATTTTCACAAAATCAACAATTTCAAGTTCAATCTAGTGCATATTAATTTTATCCACGGATAACTTAAGACTTGGCCAACCATAATTCCAGTTTAAGGATTTTGCTAAGGATGGCATACGAAGTCTTTCTTTGTGTTCATCATGTTTTTTTGGCAATTTATTTAATTTTTTCAGCCAACTCTTTTGGGAAAAAAAAGTTTCTATTTCTTTTAAAACAGAAATTCTTTTTTCTATTTCTTCCATCATTTTTTCATCATTGCAGATGATGTTAAGCTCCTTTTCTAGAAACTCAACATAATCAGTAAGAGCACTGATAAATCTACACACATATTTTCATTTATTGTTGTGTAAAGTAGACCACAATTTTTTGAAAAGTTTGCTACTTTCTGGTGCAAGTCTAAGATTATAAAACGGTTTTTCAATTATAGCAGAGAGTTCTACTATATCTATGCCTTCGAGTTCGGAGGTTAACTCACTCTTATGCTCCTTTGATGAATCTCTTTTTAAGAATCCCTTTGAATATTTTAGTTTTTCTTTCTCTCTCTCTCTCTCTATGCTATCACAATTTCAGCCATGCGCCTTTTGTTAGCTGAAGAATTTTTTGAATCATTCTACTAACAATTTTTAGCTTTATGACCTAGTTTGTTGCGGTTTCAACAAATAACATGGTTTTCTTCCTTTTGTTAGCTGAAGTACTGATTTTCTGCACCATAAAACTCATAAAACTTAGTTCCCGAGTTAGAAAATATGTTAAAATTGATGTATTATTGATTGATGTATGTTATTTTGATTATGTTTACAATGAGTCCTATATATAGAAGATTAGAGGAGGTAGGTATGTAGTCGGTGGAGTAGTAGGTGGAGTAGGTGAAGTGGGTGGAGTAGGTGTAGTGGTAGGTTTTAACAAAATATGCAATGAAATTTTTCTCCAAAGAAATATATTCAACATCAAAACTAAAATAATGAAACCACTACTGCTATCTGTGTAGTCTACTTTGACTTACATCTCTTAATCTTTTTTTCAAAAAAAGCTTTAAAACACTTATTATCTGTTCTGACAATGAAATGTTTAGAAACTAAGAAAATATAAAAAGATTTTATACTATTTTTTATAGCAAGAAATTATTTTTCATTTATGTGGTATCTTGTTTCAGCTTCTTTGAAACTATCACTCTAATATCTACATATCTGTTCCTCAGATTTATTAGGAGATATTGATTTTAATATTGTTTCCCAATTATTCTCAAAGGCATCTACTTCTAAGATTAATTTATCTCCTTGATTAGGTAGACTTAGTTTAGGAAGATTTTTTTACTATGTTCTTGATATTAGAAATGTTTTTGGTAGCTTCTTGATTCTAACTCCAATTTCACTTTCTAAGCTTTTTGCTTAATGGGTTTACTAATTCAGATAAGTTTCGAATAAACTTTTTGGCATAGTTAATTATTTCCAAAAATCGTTGAAGTTGTTTGACATCTCCTATCGCTTCAAGAAACTCTGTGACTTTTTTTAGAGATATGATCTTGAAGCACAACATTTTTGTTGTCATCAATTACAAGTCCCAAAAATTTATGGAATTCTTTTCCCATTCAATTTTCTTTTTAGATAGACCTAATCCATGATCCATGAATTCTTGAGCTATTATTTTTAGATGATTTCGATATTCCTCTCTAGTTTTAGAGAAAACTAAAATATCATCTACATATACCATACAATATTCTCCATGTTTTCGAAAAATATTATCCATTCTTCTTTGGAATAGAGATAGAGCTTGTTTTAAGCCAAATGATAAAACCAATCACTCATAATGTCCTTGCGGAGCACTAAAAGCAATTAGAGGAATGTAATTTTATTCCATTCAAATTTGCCAATAACCACTTTTTAAATCAAATTAAAAAAAGAAATTGGCTAATTGAATTTTGTTGCTTAAAATGTCTTTGTTAGGAAATTTATAACCATCTTTTATGGTATTTTTTTTGTTTTGAACTCTATAATTGATTACCATACGGATTTTTCCTCTTAATTTTTCTGCATGATTCATTACCATAAATGTAGGACAAGAATGAGGGCTTTTACTCGGTTATATTAACCCTTATTCTAATAAGTTAGGAATTTATCTTTTGAATTTGTTAATCATTTCAAGACTATGTCTAATGGGTTTTACATTGACTATATAGTTTGGATCCTCAAGCAAAATTTTTACCCAAGGCTTGTCTTTTTCCCATAATTTTAGTGGGTTATTACAAAAAAAAATTTCTACCATTTTCGTAATACTATCTAAACTCGTAATATCTTTTTCTGATTTTTCTTATTTGCCTTGATAGTGATTTGTGATATTAGTGATCCTTTGTTCATCTTCTTTATAACGCCCTAAAATAATAACAACCCACCTCATGATATTCAAAGGAAAAACATAAACTTACGTAATATTAACCTTCCATTGATATCCTTTACCGTACAAAAGATCACATATGCATGTATACATTCATAAATCCTAAATCCTAAATCCTAAATCCTAAATCTATAGCATATGATATGTGTGAGTGAATTGGAACAAAACAAAGTACAATGAAGTCAATATCTTAATGGCTATATCTTTCCAAGTTGATGCTTGAAAACAACAAAGTGAGTTGAACCCTATACATATAAAGCCCAAGGCTTGTACAACAAATATTTACATAGAAAAAACAAAAGAAGCCCTCGGCTCCAAGGTTCTCCTAGGCTACGTCCTTGGTGAAGGCATATCATCAGCACCTGAAAGTTGTTTTCCACATAGGGTGAATGTAGACACCCCATTTTTGACTGCCCTTAAAACTTGAGTGCTTCACTTTGAACAAATGATGATGAATTGATACGTTGTACAAATCGTTCAATTTCTTCAGCAAAAGGCTTCAGTTTTCAAGCTTTAAAACCTAAACCTTCTACCCCTTTTGAACCAGAACCTATTTTTTCTAGCCTGACCACTTAGAGACCTGCTAGCCAACAAGTGGCCGGCAGGCCATTTTTGGTTGGCCGGTTGGCTATGTTTCCTGACAAACAGATATTTTTGGCTACCAGTTGTCCCCATGTGCATGTTTTGCACCAGTTGTCTCATTATAGATATTTCCGATTTGAGGACTTGTTTTTCTATAAATACATGACCTTTTCTCATGGTTTGGGGTTAGAAAAAAATCTCCAAGTGCCTATAGCTTGCTCAACACACTACCTCTCTCTCTTGCAATATACATACACTATACATACACACACTTCCTAAGCCTAAACTTGAGGCCTCTTGCTGAGATTCTTGAACTCAAATTTCAACTCTTGAGAGTGTTCAACTTGTAGTTTGTGAACTAGAAGAGCATCCTCTCTTGAAAGGGTAATCTTTGAGCTTTTGTACCATCTTTTTCTATATCTTTTCTTTGTTTTTTCACACTGTTTTTTAGAGTGTTTTTAAGCTTAAAAATGTGATTTTAAGTCACAAAAAGAGGAAGGGCTAGCCACCCTTCTTTGGCTTGCTTACTAGGCTTATTTCCTTTAATTTTTGATGAAGTTTTCTACCATTTTCAAAATGATTTTTAGCACTGTTTTGTGTTATT